ACACAGAAAATCCAAGTTCTATGGTTTAGTTTCTGTTTTCTTCCCCATTGCTCCTTAATGGCTTCATTAAGAAACTGTACAGGGACCAGCAGTTAGCGAAAATGGCTATGTTGCTGGACTCCCATGTAGTCAACTGTGGTTAGAGTCCCGGACCCAGTGGCTTAAACTCACACCAGGCGTGTATGCGTGTGTGCCCAAGATACCAAGAAAAGAATGGAGGAGAAGGGATTGTGAAATGGCTATCCCCCCTGGGGGGTGATTTCTCGCTTTCTATATCTCTGTCTCTCTCTGTCTTTCTGGCAAGCGCACATGCCCTATAGGAAAAAACCTCTACAAAGAAAAAAAAAAGAAAGAAAGAAAAGAAAAGAAAAGAAAAGAAAAGAAAAGAAAAGAAAAGAAAAGAAAAGAAAAGAAAAGAAAAGAAAAAAAAAAAAAAAAGAAAGAAAGAAAAGAAAAGAAAAGAAAAGAAAAGAAAAGAAAAGAAAAGAAAAGAAAAGAAAAGAGGAAGAAACTGTATAGTAACAAAAAGTCTGTTATGGACATTCAGACTCTGAATCTGGTAACTGAAATAAATGAATCTTTTAGAGATAAAATTAACATGATATTACTATATAAATATAAAATCCTACAGTCCTGAGAAATATACAATTTGACTTTCTTAAACCCATGCCTCATTCTACTTTTTGGGTCAGATACCTTTTTGGAGGAGGCCAGAAGCCCTATTGGATTTAGAAGGCCTGGGGTAAGGTCTATTTCAACACTATAATACAGATGAGACTCATAGATGCTGGGGTGGTGGTGGGGACCAACTGCTGGGTTTTCTCTCTTCCAAAAATGATAAAAGATTAAAGTTAAATGTACATTCATGTTGTTACATTTAATTACTAGAAAGTATAATTGCTTAAATTTGATTTCTGACAAGTGTTTGTGTATGTACCTGCATGTGTATATACACATATGCTCAATAGTTTGTCAAATATCCCTTTAGGGGCCCTGTCTATATAGTTTAAAATAAAAATAAACACTCCTATGATTTAACTCACATCAGTAACTCACACTATGTCAGTGAGTTCTCCCCAGAGCTACAACTGACATGAAGCAGAAACTCAGACCCTGGTTTCCAAATTTCCCAAGTCCAGCTCTTACCTCATGACATTTGGAGTTCTAGGTAGAGCAGTAGGATGTCATCTGTAGATGGCCACCCCATAAAAGCACTATATGCCAATGAACTATACTGAGAAAATATCCAGTTCTCTCAATGGCCAGACATATTGCTGGGGTCAGGCCCAGAAAGAGCAGCAAATGGTAAGAACAAAGATAGATCTTGGCTAGTTCCAAGCCTGAACTCAGGCACACTGGGGTCAGTGTTTTCAGACCCGGTGTTCACATGTGTACTCCTTATAGACAATCCACACTTGAATAGAAAATCCGTGTTTCATTACCTATAGAAAATAAGCCAAGATGAGGAAAACTAATACAGTGTCCCAATAATTAAAGAATTCTGTTTAAAAAGATTCTAATCTCTCTCTACTGCACTAAGTGGCAGAAGTATGCCCAGAAAATTGCCACTGGCCTTGGGTGTGCATCATTCCCACAGCACAGATGACTTAGGGGCTGTTTCCCACCCAGTTCTAGGCACCAACAGTTTGTCTACACTCAGAACATTATCAGTCATTTAGAGGATTACTCTGCCAAATGAAAAACCTTAGAAGCTGACTTTAAATGCACACTGTAGTAAAATATGGGAGAATGATGGTAGTCGCTTACTGATAATAATTTGGAGTTTAACGTTTTTTAAAGTAACTTCATTACAACTATGATCTGTCCTGTGTTAAACATATCCTACCATAGGAAGGTAACTTAAGGCCCAGATGGTGGTAATACAACACTTTATGAGGCTGACTCACATGGGAAGGTTCCCAGTTTGTATTCAGAGACCTTGCTGAATGAGTGAGGCATGCTTGTGCTTATGATCTGAAACTGGCTGTGGCTGGGGGTGGATCACAGCATGAAGACCCTGTTGAAGGTACCCCTCTCTCTATCAGAAGAAAGAAATAAAGAAACTTAAAAACATTAAAAAATAAAATATGGAAACTAAAGCCAGCTAAAGTCTGATGATGGTGTTTAGACTTCAGATCAAGCAGCCAAATAGAGAGCAGCTCATTCATAAAATGGACTGTGTCTTCCAGTTGTACTAATGCTTTCTTTGGAGAATTTTAGTCTTTAACAACTGCACTATATACCGCCATGCTATGATGTGGTGTTCTTTGGAAATGCAGCCTCTAAAAATAGACCACAATTGATGAGTTTATTTCTGTTAGTTACAAATTATTGAAATACAACATTCTATGTTATTCTACATTATAGATGGTAAACAGCACATTTCACGTGTGAACCCAATACTATTGCTTTAGGAGCAAGATCATTTTAGAATAGAAAATGAATTATTTTTCATGTTTGAAACCTGGCTGGTTTCCTAACTGTGTGTGTGTGTGTGTGTGTGTCCGTGCATTGTATTGTATTGACCTTGTAATGGGAAACAGTTGCGATAGGAGTGGATGCAAGGAGTGCAAGATCTATTGTTATATAGGATAACAAAAGGAAGAACAATTCAAAATATGATTAATGAAAAAGATGAAAAGAATAATATCAAAGATGATTATGATTTCTGGACTTCCATACAATTTAGTCCTTAAATCCGGGTTATGGCTTCATTAGCCCCATCTCTTTTTCTTGCTTCTTAAAATTAAGGATTCTTGGTTGTTGGAATTGAACTTTTAATTAGAAAGCACAGATCGGGCCAGAAAACCAAATACGAGGACTGGTGATGGGGTCAGTGCTTTGGGGCTTTGCCATACTAAACCAAGAACATGGGAAAGCTGTTGACTTTCTCAGAACCTCCGTCTATTTGGGAGTCATTCCCAGTTGTTTTACGCAATTATTCATATCTTCCAAAAGGTGAGCAATTCACTTCAAGGGTGCCATTAGGCCACTTGAATGTCATAAATTATTTCATTTTGAAAATTTTCAAGTATGTGACTATTACACAGAAAAGTCGATTTCCATTTTTCTATTATTAGGAATGAAAGAAGTTGTGAGTGAAATACTCCCTTGATACGCTCTTGAGGAAATGGATATAACAAAATCTACAAGAGTTAATCTGAGGAAATTGGTTTCTCCAAACCCCTCCTTAAGTTAGCATTAATAAAAAATGAAGGCAGTGCTGAGTGAATCGCAGGCCCCTGGCTTCTGAACTTCAACCTACTGTCACATAATCTCATATTCCATCTCTTCCTTGATGCCCTTGTTTGTCTTTAATATACAGATACCAGATGACCTGCAAATACTGAAGTCTTGGGCTGGTCATAGCAATCCACTCAACATTTCATGTCCAAATTGTGGCTGCTTAGATATATCCCTTGTCCATCCAAGCCTGTGGTGGCTATATACTGTGTATAATGATGTCAGTAATTAAAATTACATAATGCTCCAGAACTAGTCAAAATGAGGACATAAGCTTTCTAAAAGATACTGTTTAATTCTGTTTTTCACTGAAACCACAGTTGTTTTCACATCCAGGTACTATCCCTGCTTGGGTCTACATCATTAGAGAGCCTATTGGTCATTTGATTAATATTTACTGTTACTGGCTTATCATGGGTCTTATAGACTGAATGTCTGTAAACCCCCCGAAATTCATATGTTGAAATCCTCACCCCCACAGTGATGGTATTAAGAGAGAGAACTTTTGGAAGGTGATTAGCTCATGGGGTAGAACTCTTACAAATACCATTAGTGCCATTATAAAAGAGACCCTAGAACACAACAAAAGAAGATAGATTAAGTACATGAGACTGGACTGGTGAAACAGAATTTTATGACTTTTGACTAAAACATTACTGATTTTCTTCTATGCTTTGTTTTCCAGATTTCAGGATTTTTATCTTCTGTCGATGTGTCAATAGGTTTATGTACCTACTATTTGAACAGAATCCTAAACTTTTTCCTGGCTTTAAGTCTTAAGTAAAATTCTCTTAACATTTTTAAAATTTTGATTATTAAAGCTAAAACTGCCTTTCCTGAAATTAAAATATATATTAATAAATACCTATTTAATGACCGTAGTAAGCAAGATAGCCTCAGTTAGGTGCTACTTTATAGTATATTCATTCTATTCACAGAGTTTTATGCCTAAAGTCAGACATGAGTTCATAGATATGTATATATCAGCTGAAATTGCTATTGGAAGTAGTTAGATTAATTTAGATATTTTGCAAATCAATAAAATGTGGGAGAAAAAAAGGAATTGAAAGCAATGGTAGATACCAGGGACAGTGTGGGAGGAGGGTGGGAAAGGGCAGAGGATGTGAAAGGGGGGGGAATATATACATGAAACAAGATACACACACACACACATGAAACAAGAAATAGAAAATTATTTGTTGATAGTAACATGTATGATTAAGCCACTATACAGTGCATTCTGGATGGGAAATCACATTTTATGTGCTGTGATGATGTTCAGTGAATAAATGTAAAGTAAATAAATTTAAAATAAAGAAAAAAGTAAAAAAAAAAGAGAGAGAGAGAGAGAGAGAGAGAGAGAGAGACCCCAGAGAATCCCATTGCCCCTTCTGCCATGTGAGGTTACAGTGAAAAGATAACTGTCCATTAGGAAATCGGTCCTCACTTGATACCATTTCTGTTTGTGCCTCAGTCTCAGGCTTCCCAGCCTCCATGACTATAAGAAACAAACTTCTGCTGTTTTTCTGCTGCCCAACTTAGGGTTATTCTGTTACATCAGCCTGTACAGACTAGGACCATGGGAAATTTGATCCTACCTCCAACCAAACCACATATTATTGTCAGTGCTCACGGTTTCAAGGAGCAGGAGAAAGAACAAGATTAGCTCAGCATTCAGGCATTGTTTCCTTGCCAAATACCCCCCAAAAGACCTGATTTGGAAACCCAAGTATATATATGACTTGAATGATACTGACTTTGTGGAAGCTCTGCTGGTTGGGTCGCTCCACTCTGAAAAGAAAGAACACAATTACTGTTCATGTTTCTACTGTGAAATGATTCTACTGAATCAAATCAGTTTCTAAACATGCAGCCCTCCCCATTACACAGTTTCGCAGCTTCCTACCATGAATAACAGATGGGAAGAAAAGAGGGAGGGGCAGGAGGAACCAGTTGGATGTATCACAATATAACTTCCTTGTTATTGTTGTTCTCTCATGTTTTAATGACTTTAGATAAGAAAGAGAGAAAACTGAGGGAGGAAAAGACATGGATAGCGGGAATAAGAAGGATTATTCAGAAATACTTACTTTGTAAGGTGAATCCTTGGGTCAGATGCTGGGATTCCTATAAGGAAAAACACATACAATACAAATATTACTTAAATGATACAAAGAGAACAAAAGGCCTACCTGTTATTTTGCTGAGGATGTAATTTGGTTAATGTTTGTAATTAATAAACTACTGTAAAGAATTCCATTAATCAGGCTCTGTCTGTAGTTTTATTTGAAAGATACATATGTGCTAGCCATAACTTCCATCTCATCAGAATCATAAATATAACTGGCATCTATTCAGAAATATCTGCAACATGGAACAAGTGACCCATATGTGTGAAATTCCAGTGTCTCATTTCTCACTTAGCTAGGCAATGATACATCTAAGAAAGTAAAAGAGATTTAGTTTAAACAGACCAATGATCATGATTTTTGTTGACGTGTAAACAAAATTGTAAGTAATAGATTTGTTCAGTATTCCCTTTTATAGAAACAGCTCCAGGGACCAGCAGTTAGAGTAATGGCTATATCACTGGACTGCCATGTAGTCGACCGTGGTTTGAGTCCCGGACCCGGTGGCTTAAACTCACACCAGGTGTGTGTGCGTGTGTGCCCAAGATCCCAAGAGGAGAATGGAGGAGAAGAGATTGCGGTGTGGCCATTCTCCCTGGGGTGGGTGGTGATTTCTCGCTTTCTGTCTGTCTGTCTCTGTCTGGTGAGCACATGCGCCCTATAGCAAAAACTTCTCCAAAAAAAAAAAAAGAAACAACTCCAACTTTATACATTAATTATCATGCATATGCAATAGATATACCTCATTCTGTGCAAGAAGAGTGTTCTTAAAATGTCATTACAAGTCTGTTGAAATTTAGGAAGCAACCTGAAATGTTATGGGAGCACATTAGTTAAAGGGATTTAAATTTGATTTGTGTCACCCTACATACAATTCATTCACTGTTTCAAGAAATTCAAATTTTCACGCATCAGGTTTGCAGGGTTGCTGCACACCTGTGTGGATCCTGTGTAAAACTGCTAGACAGAAGCACTACAGTGATGTTCAGGGCATATATGGTGCTGTATGGACAGAAGAGAAACTTAATAAGGGCTGCAAAGCAAGCATTGCAAAACTGGAGACAGTAAGTTCAAGGAAATACTTGAATTAAGCATATCAATCACTGCTGCAAGCAATGTATACATGAAGCCTAATCTTGCCACCCTAAAGAATAAAAACAGGATCACAGTATAATTAATCTTTAAAAGAAGTAAACAAGAACTATAACATTTGTGCTTTAATTGGAAGTGAAGTTTCCAATCTAGTTAACTTGATTTTGTTACACAAGAGATTTGTCTTCTGGCAAGATGATTACTCCAGAAGACTACCATAAACTCAACCAGAGGCAGAAAAGGCTTCTTAGCTATGAACTATCACAGAGCACATGAGGTCTGTTGTGCAAAGACGTTTGTGCCCTCGCTGATGAAGAACTAATTTTTGGCAAAAGAACTTGACCATCTGATCATCCAGTTCTCACTACTTAGCAAATCACAGATGTCAAGGACAGGACTCTTCTAGAGGCACAGTCATTGGGTACATGGAGATGTGAAAACCAACAGCACAGGAGTCTATGGAAAATGACACAACAAAGTCAGAACTTAAACAGCAGCGGGGTCCATGGTCATTTAATACCAAAGCAAGCATTCCTTTCTTTCTCTTTCTCTTTATAGTCTCTGAGGGCACAATTGTAGCATAGCATAATATCACAGCAAAGTACACTAACCGAAACTCATAATAATATTTAAGTTATCAAGAACGACTGAAGCATATTCAGTATAATCTTTAGAAGAAGTCAGGAAATATTAGTTATATTTGAAAATAAGCTCAATTACTTGGCTCCTATGGAAGGATAACTTTCAGTTATCCAGAACATATCATGTTGGCATGGTGCCAAAAAATTGAGTTGTTAACTATTTGCATCTATTTAACTATATATCTTTTTTTTTTAAGTTTATTTCTTCCATGAGGAAGAGAGAAAGAGATAGGGGAAAGAAAGCACCCCCCAACAGGGTCCTGATGCCACAATCCACCCTTAGACAGCCTCAGATCATGAGCATCTACATGCAGGCATACTCAGGGAGGTCTCTGGTTGGGAAACAGAAGCTTCCCCTGCAGGTCAGCCTCTCAAGAGTGTTATGTTGTACCACTGTGCTGCTGTCCAACCTCTCTGTAGAGGGATAGTTCTCTCTGTTATTTTTAAAGAGATTTTGGGACATGTTTGTACTTGGATACTTTTTTAAAATAAAATGTCAAGTTCCAGAGTCAGTGAAACCAAGTATCTGACCAGAGAGTGAAACATTTTTTGCACTGGTTCTGTAAACCTGAATTTTTAACCTTCATCCAAGCATTCTGCACTGTAATGCCAAACAATTGTTTCAGGATACTGGAGATAGTGATGCACAAATCAAACTGGAGGGTTATGTTATTCACTGAATTTGAATAATTGATATTATATAGTTTTTGATACTGTTTTTAATGTCCAACTGGAAAAGATTCTTTTAACAAGAAATTCAAACAAATGAAATATCTTTGAATATTACCAAAGTCACTTTACATACATTTACAGCTCTAATTAACAATAGTTTGGCTGAGGAGAGAATCTGCACTGTTCATGTAATAATTATTAATGCACATAGTATACAATTTCTAAAACCATACCTAACTTTGATCTGTTCATGTCTTTCATAGACATGTAATATATGAAAATTTGACAACAGAATATAATGATGTCAAATTGTTTTCACAAACTTATGTGAAACTCCTAACAGCTTTGATGATAACTCTAAAATCAGAACCTCCTCTAGAATCTAGTTTTGAGAACTGAGGTTAGCTAACTTTTCTTGCAAAAGGCCAGACAGTATGGGAGACATGCAGTCTCTGTCATAACCACTTGACTGCCATTGTAGTGTGAAAAAGCAGTCACAGACAACACGTAAATGCATGGGTGTGGCTAGGTTCTATGAAAGCTTGACTTGTAGGTGCTAAAATTTAAATACTACATTAGTGCTCCTATTACTTGTAATAATACATTACATTTTCTTAGAAAATTTTAACAATTAGGTTGTGGGGAAAGTCGTGATGTCTTTTTCTACGTTTATGTATGCTAAAACGTGTCTTGACTTTCCCAATGACCCAATATTTAAAAACATAAAAAACCTATAGGCTACAGTTTGCCTAGCTCTGTTCTAGAGTAAGTTTACCTCTGGGGAAACATTACTAAACTTCTCCTGAGGATGTCATTACTCCCTCACTTCTGCTTAGCAAGTAATTATTCCCTTCCTTGTGAAGTTTTCTATTGCCTATGAGAAAACATAGCATTTCTAATTCCAGAATGATAAGCAAACTTAGATTGAAAATTTTCAACTGTATTTTTTTAAGTTTATTTATTGAGAGAAAGAGATAAGCACTCTTAATAGGTTCTCATTACCTCCCCCCCCCACACACACATACATACAGCCTTCCCAGTCACCCAGGATCACACAGTCACACGCTCATTAAGCATGTACAGGTTGAGTGGGGAACCAAATCCCATGATGTTCCATACAGTCTGCGTTTGAGCAGTACATTAGCACTATGCTGCCATGCTGGCTCTATATCTGTTTTAATGAGTTTATAGAATAACCCTATTTGACCTGAAAAATCCATTAGGATTATATAGCAGATAATAGCAAAGAAATACACACATATCATCCCCAGTATAGACGGGAAGACTGAGGTTCAGGGAAATTTCAACCAAACCACAGTGCCAGCAAAACAGCAGAACCAGGTTAAAAGAAGCCAGTACCACCACATTTACTAAGACAGCAATATTTCCTTTTCTTTTTCTTTTCTTTTCTTCTTTATTTATTTATTTATTTTTTGAGAAGTTCTGCTATAGGATGTGTGCGCTTTCCAGAAAGACAGAGAGAGACAGACAGACAGAAAGCAAGAAATCACCCCCTGGGGGAATGGCCATGCTGCAATCCCTTCTCCTCCATTCTCCTCTCAGGATCTTGGGCGGGCACGTATGCACATGCACCCGGCGTGAGTTTAAGTCACCAGGTCCGGGACTTGAACCGTGGTCAACTACATGGGAGTCCAGTGACATAAACATTACACCAACTGCTGGTCCCTAAGACAGCGCTCTTTTGTTTGTTTTGTTTTTTGATACAGGGTGCATACAGTCACTGGAGAGAGACAGAGAAAAAGATGCAGAAAGTGAGAAACCACTCTCTGGGTGGGTGGCCATGCAGGAATCCTTTCTCTTTCATCTTCTCTTGGGATTGTGGGCATGCATGCATACATGCCTGGTGTGTTTTTTAAGATTCCATGTCTAGGACTCAAACCACAAAGTCAGCCATAAGGGATCCAGCTGCCTTAACCACCATACACAACTTGGCTGGTCCCTACGACAGCACTCTTTATTACTGATCTAGCTCTGACATGGGTGTAAGACAATGATGCTTTCTAAAAAGCTGGTCACCCAGCTCTGGTGCAGGCAGTGGATATATTTACTGGAAATAGTCATGTTTTTGAGGATGTGATTTGAACTGGAGCATATGGGAATATGTGTGATAAAAGACACACTGAGAGACAGTATGGTCCCTGGTACCAGAACACCTAGATCCAAATACTGGTTCCTTCAGTTATTAAATGTGTAACCCTGAGCATATTGCTTAACTACTATGTGTCTCAGTTTCCTCTTCTGTAAATTAAGATAGTAAATTACTAACCTCTTTGGATTGTAGTGAAGACTGAATTATTTACCTCATATAAAGTACTTAGAACAAAGTGAGACACAGCATACCATTATACCTGTTGCTGATATTATTATTTAACATGTACGTTTTTTCAAACTGATGTTTTGGCAGAAATCAAATGAAACAAAAGAGTATGTAGTCATCCTGATTCACCATTTTATCCCACTTGCTTGTACCTTTATCACAGGGTTGATGGCAGCACAGATAATTGGCAGAAAATGCAATTTGTGCATGATTCCAAATTGTGCACTTATCACAAAAGTCCATTTCAACAACCAGTCCTATTGTATACACTTACAAATGTCACAATAGCAACTTGCACAAATTGCCTCCCAAATTGGAGAATCCAGCTGAAAACACTGCAACGACTGTATATGTTTTGAATTCTACACCTGAAACAAGGAATAGGTCTCTGCTATGGTTTAAATGTGTTCCACAAAATTCATGTGTTAAAATATGGTGAGCCTTGGGACCAGCAGTTAGCATAATGGGTATGTCACTGGACTCCCATGTAGTCGACTGCAGTTTGAGTCCCAGACCCAGTGGCTTAAACTCACGCCAGGCATGTGTGCATGCGTGCCCAATATCCCGAGAGGACAATGGAGGAGAAGGGATTAGAGCATGGCCATCCCTCCTGGGGGTGATTTCTTGCTTTCTGTCTCTCTGTCTCTCTGTCTTTTTTTTTTTTAAGAGGTTTTTGCTATAGGGTGCATGCGCTCACCAGACAGACAGAGAGAGATAGATAGAAAGTGAGAAATCACCCCCCAGAGGGGGTGGTCACACCACAATCCCTTCTCCTCCATCCTCCTCTTGGGATCTTGAGCCCACATGCACATGTGCCTGGCATGAGTTCAAGACACCAGGTCCGGGACTCGAATTGCGGTCGACTACGTGGGAGTCCAGTGACATAGCCACTACACCAACTGCTGGTCCCATCTCTCTCTGTCTTTCTGGCGAGCACACACACCCTATAACAAAAACCTCTCAAAAAAATTTAAAAAAAGAAAAAAAATATGGTGAGCCTTTGTAAAGGTGTGGAGTGGATGGAGACTTAATCCAATTGCTGTGTTGAAAGTTGGGGCCTCTGAGAAGTGATTAGGAATCAGGGTAGGGTCCCACACTCATGATTAAGCTCTGGTGGGTTTATAAGAAGAAGAGATGAGGCCAAAGCAAAGACACACATACATGTACTCCTGCCCTCCACCATGTTGTGATGTCAGGCCCTGTCAGCCCCATGCTCTTGGGCTTCTCAGCTTCCAAAACTGTGACCCAAATAAACCTCTACTCTCTTAAATTAGTCACAGTTAGAAATTTCTGTTATTAGCAACAGAATAGACTAGAATACTCCCTTTGCTACAACTGTTTGGAGATTACTGTCAAGCCCAGGGCAGCCTAAGGAGATAGAATGGGGATGCAGGACGAAATGACATGTACCAAAACTGGGCCAGTGAGGGTTATTAATCACTTAGTTCTGACCCTTTTCAAAGGTAAGTTGGGACAATTAAACAGTTTACACAAGTATTCTTCACAAAAACTATGACCCTAAAATGTAAAGTATCTTATTAGATGTTTTTTTTTCCTCTTATAAATAAAGTCCAAATCCCTTGGGGTAACATCTAAGGCTGTTCATGGAAATGTACCTACCCACTTGGTGTCATCTCTCTCCATTTCCCATCATAGAAACTCTAACTCAGCCACTCTGGCCCTCATACTAGGATGGATTGTACCATGATCCCTCATCTCATCATGCCTTTGCTCATGCTGGTCATTACATGGAATGTCCTTCTTTTAGGCTCTTCTGTACATATCAGAGTCCTAAGCATACTGTGAATATTGCCATATCCATGGTGAGCATCTCCTTAACTGCTCAGAAGAGTGTTAGGTACTTCTCTGAGCACTATATTCTCTATGAAGACACCTACTACTTTGTTTTCTGATTCACCTGTTAACATGCATCCCTAACTTTAAGCCCATTGTAGTCCTCACTGAATGGTTTCTGAATAAATGGGAAGAAGGAAGGAAAGAAGGGAGGAAAGAAGGCTGTTCTTTTTCTTTTAAAGTATGTTGTTAGTGTATCCACATCTATTTAGGCATTCTTTAAAGCAAATGGCGATAAATTATTCCTGGCAGAAGGTGAAAAAAATATTAAGCCTTTGAAAATAGAACTATAGAAGAAAAAGTTCTGTTAATGTAATTTGTTGATTTGCAAAGATCTGTCTGCCTGTGAGCAAAGGCTGGAAGGTGATATACAAAAACTAAAATCAATCCACGAGGGTAGGAGTACAGGTTTTTTTCCATTAAAAAATCTTGGACATTGTTAACATCATGTATTTGTTATTTCCTAAGGGCTGCGCCACCCACTCTGTTGCCTCTACTCTGGGCGCAGTCACTTGAACAGTAGTAATGCTCTAGGTGGTAAAATATGCATGCCAGTGTCTCCATGTATACTGTATTAAAGACTCTCTTTCAGTAAAAATTAAACTTATATTATCATTATGAGAGGCAAGAGGGAGTCTAGATTTTATGGCAGTACAAGACCAAAGCCATCATTAGGAATCTGATGAGAAGACTGGTGTAATTAAAGTGAGATAAAGGAAAATGAAGAAGGAAGAGAGCTGACCTGTGCAGGGGTAGAAAGTGTGTTCTGCTCCAAGTTTCCAGGAGTGTGCATGGCAGTGAGGGGAGCAGGCCAGGAATGGGTCATCTCCTAATAGAGAAAAACAAAGCAACTTCATTGCCAGGTGCTCAGAAATAAAACTGCTTTTCAGTATTGAAGAGAATAGGCCCTTTATACTTACTGATGTCACTGGACTCACTTGTTTTGAAGAAAACCTAACGTCATTTGATTAAACCCCTGCCTCACACTGGTACTCAAAGCCTCTCTGAAATACGAAGGATTTGCTTGCACATTGTGACAGGAAGTTCACTACTGTTTGAAGTGACATGTCCCATGTTGAGACAGCCTGATCATATTCTTCTTCCTGGTTGTGAGCTATAAACCTGTCTCCCAGGAGCTTCTACCATAGATTGTATTCTGCAGCTTCACAGAACTCATTTCCTTCTTCTCTGGCATGACAAGTTAGAAGACAACAATCCTATCCCTTGATGTTGTCCCCTTTCCAGACAGAAACATTCTCAGCTTGTTCATGCATTTATTGGGAACCTTTCACTTTTCTTCCAGTGCTGGAGGTCTGCATTCTGTCGCTATCACAGGTGCTCCTGGGAGGGACTCCTGATTTCCTGGGGCTCCTCCAACTCATGGTATCTCATTCCAGGTGTGATCTGCTGGCTCAAGGGAGGGCAGCACTGTCACCGCCTTCATTGCCTTCATTCTGGATCCTCTGATACTCATCTTCTCTTGATGTAGCCTAACAATCAATGATAAGATTATACACATGCTGGTGATTTTTCCAGGCAAAGATGAGGTAGCCAAGGAGGATTTTTTCTCATTCATAGAGAAGGTTACTATATGATTGGTGGCTGGGGGAAGCTCAGCCATACACACTGTATTGGTGATTTCAAATTTCAAAACAGAAAATCCCCTCAGGCTCCTACCCACTGTTATCAGCAGGGGCACCCTCTCAGCTCTTTCAAACACTCAGTTTGAAGAGAGGTGCCGTTCAAATCTTGCTTGAGTCTAAGGGCACGTGGCCAATGTGCTTTACCCTAAGAGCAAGGATAATGAAATCACTTGCTCAAAATCCCAGCGACAGAGAGATGACAAATTTTACAGAGCAGGAGAGAGCCAGCATGTGTTGGATTCATCAGACATTTTCATGTATGAACATTAAACATAAAAATCATTGTAATGATGGAAATAAAGGAGGGCTTTGGGGCGGGGTAGAGGGGATCAAAGTTTATGAAAATCCTTTCTAATGAGTAAGTTATATAATACTTTTTTCCCAATCTTTATGGGTAACATAATTAGTCATTTCAAAGGAAATATTAATAAGATCTCTCAGGTAGCACTAAAACATGGTTTTCCCTTTATAATTACCAGTTCAAAATGAGTCTTTGATGTACAAAGCGCTGTAATGCAAGGAGATACTTCACAGATTCATTCACAGTGGCACTGCTGAAGCAGAATTTGTAAGTATTATTCAGACAAGCACTGACACAGATTGAATTTTACCCAGCACTATTTAAAAAGGAGGCGGTAAGTACATTAAAAATGCATACAAGATTTAGAGGGGATGCTTAACCTACTTAAGAGATAGACTATTTCCAAGTGTTTTTGAGTTGTGCATTTGTATCCCGTTGATAACATTCATGACAAATGCTACTTACATATTCAGCACGACTGGGCCCAAAGTAACTCTACATGATAACAGTTTAAAGCTGAATTCTAATTACTGTGTCTTTAAGAGACTCAATGATCTCTTTTAAAAATTAGAAGGTTTTTTTGTTTTTTGGTTTTTTGGTTTTTTTTTTTTTAATACAAAGACCAACTATATATTTCACAGCATCAGTCAGTGAAAAATAACATTTTGAAAA